GGAGGGTTTGGGGAGGGAAAAAAACTCTTTTTTTTTTTTTTTTTTTTTTTTTTTTTTTTTTTTGAGATAGGGTCTCACTGTAGCCCCAGCTGGCCTGGAACTCACTATATAAACCAGGCTGGCCTTGAACCCAGAGATCTGCCTGCCTCTGCCTCTCAAAGAACAGGACTCCTGGGCCAAGGCAGTTGAACCCAGAGTCAGGGCTCAAGTGATAAAGGATTGACTCTTAACTGTTGCTTCAGACCTGCATTCAAATCCCGCATTGGCCTTTTTCCAGCTTTGGGAAAGCTGGCAAAAACAAGCCCTCTGACCTTCTGGTTCCTTCTCTGTAAAACCAGCATTTCCAGCTGCTTCCTGGACTTGCTCCCAGAAGCCCACAGACACCCCCAACTCTAGCCAGCCAATAGGCAGCTCCTTGCCTTCCACCAACAGCTTGTCAGGTCCCTGGGCCCTCCTCCATCAACCAAACATGACTGAGTGTCCACCACATCCAGGACCCTTCTTCCTGCTCACCTTCCATCTGCTCCCTTCCCCAAGTTCAGCTCATTTTACGAAGGGTCTTAGCCTGCCCATCCTCCCCTCCTTCCTCTTCACTTCTGGCCAGAACTGCCTGATATTTCTGCTGTCTTCTCACAGCTCCCTCTGCTGGGATCAGTTTCTCTAAATCTGATTATCTTCCTCCCTGCTTAATAACCTTCCATGACTCCCCTCTGCCTTCCAGAGTAAAGGGCATCTGAGATGTTTGTCCTCAACCTTCTACCTCCCTTTTATCTCCCCACCAGGCCAGCACTCCTGTACCACATGACCAACCCTAACCCCACAGCGTGAAGGAGTTCCTGGCCCTCCCCCAGACCTAATTTCTCCTCATGGGCTTGGATCTAGATGGGGGTGGGTGAAATGACTCTCTGGGGACTCATCATCCCAACCAACTCTTGTCCAATACAATAATTGCTCTTCCCTCTGACTGGAAAGCTGCTCTTATCTAGAAGCCAGACAGAGATAGCCACTTGCCTGAGGTCACTCAGCCTGGCCAGCCCTCTCCCAATTACAGTTTCTGATAGCTAAAATGTGCGGATCATTCTTAGGCAATTCCATAGCCTGGACACTCCATCTCACACTTCCTTTTGGTCTGCTCACTCTATCTCAAGCTAGAAATAGTTCCTGGGGACACAGCAAAAACCATGATCACTTATGGGAAATGGGATGGGGCAGGGAACTGTTTCCACTTTTTTTTTCTTTTTTTGAGACAAGGTCTTACTATATAGCCCAGGCTAGCTTTGAACTCACTACAATCTTCCTGCCTCAGTCTCTTAAGTGCTGGGATTCCAAGTAGGAGCCACCACCATGCCCAGCTTTTCTGCCACATATAACCTGATACACATTTCTATCATGTGTAACTTGATTCACATTGTTAATGTGAATACCTAACAATCTATGTGC